GCTATGAGTTGGAACCGACTTGATGGATCCTAACAAGAGTGTCGGAGTGTTTAAACATCGAGGGCTCCACGCAGCCTCTGCCAGTTACCAGCTCCTAAGATGCTGGGCAAGTCATTATGTTTCTCTAAACCCTAGCTCCTACACCTATAAAAAGGGATATCAGTGCCAACCTCATAGGACTATTAGAGAGTGGTAGTAAATCTTGTGGGCCGCACTGGATCAGGAGGAGGAGGAACAGAGATAACCCTCTGATGGCATCCTGTTCCTTCACCCTCCCGAGGCCCTGGAAGGCCCTGCATCCCTGGGCAGATCCGTCAGTAGACACTCTCCCATGCCTGTGTCTTGCTGCCAGCCCTCACCCCGTAGGATGACACACTGGTTTATCAGATTGCCTGGCCAGCATCTGTCTCCCCACGGACACCCTTGGTCATCCTTTATGCTCACTGTCCCGCAGTCAGTGGGGAATGAATAGATGAATGAATGAGAACGAGCTCCTGCCTTCACCCGTCTCACTGGGTGCACACACACAAAGAGAGACTACACTGTAGAGGGGTAGGTAGGTAGGGGTCAAGGACCGCAGAGCAAGGGCAGAGCCAGTGGGCTGGAGCTGCTGAGGAAGGCTTCTGGGAAGGGGACGAGAAAGAGATCGGACACGAGAAGTAAGGGACTCCTGAGTCCGTCTGGCCCAGCCCTCCTCCAGGAATTCACCCAACACCTCCCCTGGCCCAGCCACCACAGCCACCCCAAATCCATCATCTCTCCTGACTCACAGCCTCCCGGTCCTCAAGCGGAGTTAGTGTGGACTGTGGACGAGGCCACTGGGGTCAGCCTGTGGGTTTTCCCGTGGTCTCAGCCCACAGCCTCAGGAGCGAGCTGTTTTCTGTGGGGGTTCCAGGTAGGCGTGGTCCACCTTGCCCCCTCGGCAGTTCCAGCATGCAGGGCAGTCTGGCCATTCCCTCTCCCCAGAGGGCAAAAGTGCTGCTCTGGCAGGGGGGCCTTTGTTGGGGAGAGGGGAGGGATGGGGCTGTCCGGGAAACACGGGCTAGTTCCCACAGTGCTGCCTAGCAGCTGACCTGAGCCTCAGGCTGCGTGGCCCCTGCACACCCCTTAAGGGTTCTAGTACTTTCCTCAAGGGACTTGAGGAAACCCCTGGCCAGACTCCAAGCACCATCAGCCTCTTCCCTACCATGGTCAGTTGTCTGCATGAGGTTGACCTTAGGCTTCTTCCTGGTTGCCTCTGATTCATTTCCCTGCCTCTGGCCGGATCATGGTTTGGGGTTTGGCTGGGCCCTTTTGACAGCAGATCCGCAGCCAGTATTCCTGCCCCTGCCCCGGCATCCCCTCTTCTCCCGACTGCTCTGCCCTCTGCTCTCCCACCACTCCCTCCCCTGGCCAGAAGGCCTGTGGTGACGCCATATCCGAATCCTAAGCCCCTCGGACAATGCACAGGCCAGCTGGAGTGACAGCATCCACAGTGTCCACTTTAGTGGGGGACAGCTCTTTGGAGTCTACAAGGCACTTTGGGGGTTGTCACCTCATTTGAATGTCAGACCAGGTAGACCGGGCTTGTACTCTAAATTTAGACTCCCAGATCACACAGGCAGTGAGATCCAAGCTCAGGACCCAAGGGCATCTCACTCTGGAGCCAGAGCACCCATTGTCCTGCTGGCCTGGCATTTCCCAAGCAGCCGCACAGCACCTGAGGCCCAGAGAAAGGCCCATGGAGAGTCTCTGGCTTTTTGGATACTTCCTGGGCCTTTTGGGTCCTGAGCGGGAAAGGTGGGAGAGAAGTAGGGATTTTGTTTCTTTTTCTGCCCATCCTTGTTGGACGCTTTGAAATACACATTTCATCTGCAGCGACCGGGTTGATTTTAAACCCGGCCCTATCTCCAGCAGAAACTGGGGAGACCCTGTGGTAGTTACATAACCTGGCGTCAGTTTGGGACTTGAGAGTCTAGTGAAGGGGTGGAGTCTATTCTGTGAATCGGATCATAGCCAATGAGGCTTCTGTGTGGGCATGGCCTTCTCCTGAGGATTTTGAGAACTCCTGGATTTCCTCTTTGGAGGCGGGAGACTCTCTCTCTGCTCACTCCCTGAGAGATGCTCTACTGACAAGACACATGGCACTATGTTGATAGACCTCGTGCCCTGGGAGCTGGAGGAGCCACGTGGAGACCCCTGCAAGCACTGAGATGCTTCTACCGCCACTGGATTCACAAGACTTTGCACCCACTGGCCTGTGATGTTCCTGCATTTGGCGTCATTACAGGTGTTTTGTGAGTCTGAAGAGGACTTTATAGATTGGTATCGGGCATATGGGCTAATATCAGACTTACGGACTTGATCTGGACTGGGTTGGGATGTTTTCTCAATATTCAATTGCTCTTGTATATAAAGCACTTTCCTATACACATATGAGTGTCCATGAATTTATTATTTTAAATTTATTTTTCTACCCCGACTAACACAGACCCCTCTGCTGGAAACCTCTGCTTGACCCTGAATCATAACAGTCGATATTCATTCCATTGGTGAATACCAGTAAGAAATGGCCATCTATGTACCCTGGCTAATATTTGTGTCACTATGCCTCTGCTTAGGCATTCATTATTATCCTTTGCTTAGTGGTTATGCATTGGGCTGCTAGCCACAAGGCCAGCAGTTCAAAGCCATCAGTTGTTCCTTGAACGATGAGACTTTCTACTCCGGCACAGAACTGCAGTCTCAGAAACCCACAGGAACAGTTCTACCCTGTCCTCCGGGGTCACTGTGGGTTGGCAGTTGGTTTGTTGAGTCCGTGCCATGCACCAGGCACAAGTAAGCCCTCACTGCCATCGAGTTGATGCCGACTCATGGCATCCCTATACTTTAAAAAAAATATTTTATTGGGGGCTCGTACAATTCTTATCACAATCCATCCATCCATCCATTGTGTGAAGCACATATGTACATTTGCTGCCCTCATCATTCTCAAAACATTTGCCTTCTACTTTAGCCCTTCATATCAGTTGCTCATTTTCCCCACTCCCCCCTCCTTCGTGAACCCTTCATAATTCCTGAATTATTATAGTTTTGTCATAAGTTACACTGTCCAACGTCTCCCCCCGCCCTCTTCTCTGCTGTCCATCCCCCAGGGAGGAGGCAATACTTAGATTCTTGTAATCTGTTCCCCCCTTCTACCCCACATTCCCTTCACCCTCCAGGCCTCGCCCCTCTCACCGCTGGTCCTGAAGGGATCATCTATCCTGGATTCCCTGTGTTTCCAGTTTCTATCTGTACCAATGTACATCCTCTGGTCTAGCCAGATTTGTAAGGTAGAATTGGGATCATGATAGTGGAGGGGGAGGGGAGCATTTAAGAACTAGAGGAAAGTTATATGTTTCATCATTGGGCAGCCCTATACTTTTTTTTTTTTTAAACATTTTATTAGGGGCTCATACAACTGTTATCCCAATCCATACACACATCAATTGTGTAAAGCACATCCGTACATCGTTTCTCAAAACATTTTCTCTCCATTTAAACCCCCGACATTAGGTCCTCATTTTTCCCCTCCCTCCCCGCTCCCCCCTCCCAGCCCTATACTTTTTATGGGAGTACAAAAAGCCTCATCGCCCTCCCACGGAGCACCTGATGGGTTTGAACTGACGACCTTGAAGTTAGCAACCACTCCACCACCAGGGCTCTGAGGCACTAGCTATAAACATGGATGTGGCGCGGTTCACAGAGAGGCAGAGAAGTGGACTTTCAGTCTCTGGGGGCACAGAGGAGAAAGGAACGAACCTTGGGTGGGTCTCACGGGCCTACGTCTCAAGGTCAAGCTGGGAAGGACTTCTGAGAGGAAGTGGCTTTCGTGTTGGGTCTCGAAGGATGAGACACACATTGAGTTTTTCCCCCAAAGTCTTTTCTGAGAAGCTTTGGATAGAGAAGTGCTCGTTGATGGGAAGGGATGGAGGGGCATAGAAAGGGGTGGCCGAGGCACTTGAGCACTTAATTCCTGGACAAGCTCCCTTGGTGCTGTTTTAACTTTAATACCCTGAGCCCAGGGGACTTTCTAAGATGCAAATGATTTAGCTCTGTGTTGGTCAGCAGGCAGCCGCCAGGCACCCATGGGATTGGACCGAGGAGCCCAGTGTTTTATGCGTGTCCACTTCATGAAGATCCCCGCCACGTGGCGGGGCTGGGGCATACCCTCGTGGGTCACACAGGCCTCACTTGAGGCGTCTGGTTAGACGCCGACACCGTGGATCTAGGCTGGGACGTCGCTGCTTTTTGAAGCTCCCCAGGTGATTCTAAGGTGAGTCAGCCATGGAGGACCACAGATGCAGAGCTTGGTCCTTCAGTCTCTCACAGGTGGGGAGGACCCCTGGCTACACACTCATCCAGGATTACGTCTGGATCTGGGCTTGCAGGCTGTGGCCTCCTCCCAACACCCCTCTGTCCCTGGGAGGGTCCATCCTGGGTCAGGCTCTTCGGCATGTTCAGTAGGAGGGTCAGGCTCTAAGGCGGCTCACATAGCCTTCTGGGTCTCTCCCTCTCTCTGCTGACCTGAGCCCCTAGCCCCAGTCCCATCCTGATTCCCAAGACGGTGCTCACTCACCACAGGGCCCTGCAAGGGGCAAGGAGGGAGGCCGGGCCAGCTCTGTCTGCTTTGGAGCAGCTCAGCGGTCAAGGCGCCTGGTCTTTACTTACAGGCCCCTCTGGCCTTTGGACAGAGCCCAACCAGCCATTTTCCCAGGCTGGGCTGGAGCAGGGGCTGGTGGCCAGGCCTGCGGTTTGGCTGATTATTGTCTGTTTCCCTATTAAGCAAATATGCAGATGAATGTGTTTGGGGCAGCTCGAATAGCCTGAGACTTGGGAGAGAACTCTCCTGCTTCACATATCTTGGAAAATGCTTTCTGCGCTGGGGCTCAAGCGGCAGCCCACCCACCCACTACCCACCCCACCCACCCCCCTGAGAAGCAACTTTCCCCATGACTCACACATGGCAGCTTGTGCACTTCTTTTATTATTAAATATATAAGCAGCTTCCTATTTTTAAATAGATATTTAAATGACTTTATATAAAATAATTCACCACTTCCAAGTATAAAAACGAAACCTCACAGTGAGTGAGTCAATGTTCCCTCTCCGTGTCCTCGAAGAAGGGTTCCTGTCGGGCAGCAGGGGGACACCCAGAGGTGGCTCTGGGGCCCCCGCGCCTGCCGCTGTCAACAAGCACCCACAAAGGGCTCCTACAATGGTGTGGACTTGCTATGTTGACTTTTAAAAAATACTGTACGTTTAAGGGGGTGGGGCGACACGGTTGGTAATGCCTTTTTTTTCCCTGTGTGTGTGTGTGTGTGTGTGTGTGTGTGGTTTCCCTTTTCTTCCATACTTCCATTTTTAAATCCATCCTTTCTAGTATCAAATAGAGAGTTTGCGACAAGAAGAGCTAAGTCCTCAGTGTGAGTCCTCCCCTGCCCTGCCCTCTGCTGTTGGCATCGCCTGGGGGTGCTGGGGCAGGGGGCTGGAGCCAGAGTACCCCCTTTGTCAGGGCAGGCCAATGCCGGGCCAGCGGCCCAGGCAGGGCAGGGTTTTCAGCGCAGGACCCAGGGCACAGCAGCATAAAGAGGCCAAGGGCCAACAGGAAACCCTGGTACCACTGTCCAGGGTGGGGGGCCCTGGCCGCTGAGGCCCTCAGGGGCAGGGCTGAAAGCAGGTACCTTGGCCCCTCTCCCACCCTGGCTCACCTGGCCAGAGAGGGGATGGTTATGGGGCCTGGGAGGAAAGGTGGAGGGTGTTGACTGCCTACTGGGCCAGAAAAAGGAAGCGTGGGAAGAGAAGGGGCACTGGGTGCCAGTGCAGGTGGGGCTGGGCGCAGTCCAGTCCTGGGCTCCCAGCAGAGAAGACCTGGCCCGCTCGGCCCCAGGTGACTGCAGTGGCAGCCGTTAATGGTGGCTGGTGCAGGAGGTGAGGGGAAGGCAGTTGGGCTGAGGGCCAGGGGCCAAGAACCACCTGTCAGAGCTCACCCTGAAGCCCCTTTCTCTCTGCTCTCCACCCCCCTCCCATGAGTCACTTCCCTCTCGGGGACTTCAAAGTGCAAGATGCAGCAACTTGGGGAACAACGGGCAGCCTAAGGACCAGCTAGGGCTACTCCCCGACCCCCTTCTCCCTGGAGTGTCAGGGCCGCATGGGAAGGCCAGGTCTTCGGGCTTCCTCCGTGGACAGGCGAGGCCAGCTCAGGTGCCCGGTCAGGAAGCTGGGAGAGGCTGGAGGTTGGGAGGACGGAAGGACGGACGGATGGCTGTTCACCTGGGCGGGACAGCCCAGGTAGGCTGTACAGCAGGCAGGTTCAGTGTTCACAGTGCAACGGCTTCCTTCATGAGGGGCGGCCTCCGCGTGGCCTCCTGGGTGCTCTGGCAGGGGCTGGAAGGAAGGGGGCGGGGGGAGCAGAGGCAGGCTCCGTCCTCCCTTTGGCATCAGGAGCAGGCCAGGCAGGTCCTGAGGGCAGGGCTGGTCTCCCTTCTCCACCCAGCAACCAGAGAGGGCACTTAGGTGAGGGAAGGGTGTAGAATCTGGGCTGTCGGTGGCGCACACCTGCAGCAGGCCCAGAGGCCTCTTCCCGTCATTTGGGCTGCACGCGTTTTCCCAGAACTCCAGCCAACGCTGTCCCGCCCTGCCAGTCTCATGTTCCTCTCAGTGGGAACGTGCCCTTGCTTGCTCTTGCTACCAGGCGGGTCCTCTGGGCACAAGGGCTCTGCCAGTTCCTCAGCCCCTGGTCTGCTCTCCCACGTCCACAGGCCTGGGTCCCTGACCCAGGTGTTGGCTTCAAGGGGAGCGTGGGGCCGGCCGGCCGGTGCAGCCCCTGGGGGCTGATGGTCCTGAGCCAGGCTTGACAGCCTTCTTCAAGCAGATAGGAGCCTCCAGGGCCCATAATAAATATTGGCAGCTCCTCTCAGCCCTCTTTCAGTCAGGTGAGGGTCAGAGGGTTGAAGGTGGCGGGGCCTCAGCCTGGCTGTGCTGGTCCAGTCCTGGCAGGCAGGGGTGCTCGTCCTGGACAGGCCACCATCCCAGGGGGACGGCTGGGGAGGGTTGGTGGTGAACGACCCATTACTTCTCCGCCTACGGAGAGGCTGTCCTGTGCGCCCAGCTGTAGGGAGAGAGAGAGAGAGAGAGAGAGAGAGAGAGAGAGAGAGAGAGAGAGAGAGAGAGAAGCCCGTCAGCTGAGTGGAAGTGGACGAGGGTCGCTGAGGACATGGGTGGGAGAGACAGGGCCGCGTTCCTGTGGGCTGCGGCAGGGAGGGCTTCCTCCCGTCCTTTCCCGTGCCTTCCCAGACACCTCAGACACCACAGAGGGGCCAGGCGGCCTTCGCTGGACATGGTCCAAGCCTCTGGCCAGACTGGCCTCACCTCCTATCTCCTCCTGAGGGAACCAGGGACCACAGGGGAAGGCAATGGGGTTGGTGGAGGATTGAGCAGGGCCGGGTGGTTGGGGGCATTCATTGCTCAGGGTCTTGGCAGGGACGGAAGGGGACACTTGAGTGTCCTTACAGCTGCTCCTCTGGCAAGGCCACCTCAAGGGCCGTGGTACAGGAGATCAAAGGGGGACAAGTACCAGGGGCTTTTCATTCTCGCCTCCACCCTGCTCATCAGATCTGAGAGTCCTCTCGGATGCTATCTGATGGCAGGGCGGAAGTAACTGAAGACCAAGAACTGAAGGCCAGAGTGGAAAAGTCTAGAGTCAGGGGTGGGACCAGGAAACTCCCACCATGCCATTAGGCATGCTAACCCCTAAGCAACCCAGCTGCTTCCTGGATGGACTCTGGCCTCCCCCATCATCCATGGGAGTCAGGGCCCTCTCCCCTCCAATGCCGCCCTACCCCCGCTGTCCCCTGTCCCAGCATCCCCAGAACACTTTGTTCTCAGAGCAGAAATCCCCTGGACTCCGGCCAACAGTTTGACTTGGACTCTGTGTGGCGCCTCCCACCCGGCTTGTCCACAGACCCTGCTGGCAAAGCCCGGGTGGGCACGGAGGGAAGATGGGACCTCGGCCTCTGGCTCCCAGCCCATTCCCATGCTCTGGAGGGAGCCAGAAGCTGGACACAAGGCATGCTGGGTACAGCCAGGCCACAGGCCCCACTGGGTGCAAGAGGGAAGGAGGGCCAGTGGGGCAAGCTCAGCAAGGGGCCCCATCTCCCGGTCCCCTGCTTGTGTCTGAGTTTTCTTTGTACAGCTCCTTCTCCTCTCTCTGTCTCTGCCTCCAGCTTCCCTCTCTGTCTCTGCCTCCAGCTCCCTGTCTCTGCCTCCAGCCCCCTCTCCATCTCTGCCTCCAACACCCCCTGTCCATCTCTCCCTCCAGCCCCCTCTCTGTCTCTGCCTCCAGCCCCCTCTCCATCGCTGCCTCCAGCCCCATCTCCATCTCTGCCTCCAGCCCCCTCTCCATCTCTGCCTCCGGCCCCCTCTCCATCTCTGCCTCCAGCCCCTCTCCATCTGTCTCCTACACCCCCTGTCCATCTCTGCCCCTAGTCCCTGTCTCCATCTGTCTCCTACAGCCCCTGTCTCCATCTCTC